ACCTATTACCATTTTTTGGCTTTTATGTTTCCCCAAATAGACTGTTCACTTCCTTGATGGCAGGGTCATGTATTATTCCACAAGTTAGCACGGTATCATGTATTTGTCCCAAGTGTAATGCATTTAAATGGAATAAATATGAGTGAATACCTTTTGTTTTTCCCCATTGAGACTATTTATATTGAATAAATATTTATTTACTGACTGAATAAAGGATCAGGATACTGTTTTTTGAAAAAGAGTGAGGGGATCCTCAGTTGTTATAACTCAAAAGAAAAATAGCTTAGAATTTTGGTTATAGAATTATACCTATGGAGGGATAGGGTATGGGCAATATTCTGTAATGGAGGTATTAGTTTCTGCTCCCTTTTAATTTTTGCTTTTGAAGCAACACTTTGCTGACATTAAAACAAAATCTGATCAATATAACAATTCTCATTCCCAGGAGTTTGTAAATGATTCCTCCTGGCCTGTGACATCATGAGACTCTGCAGCCAGAGCCTCCCCCAATACATGAGAACAGTTGTTCTTTGCAGATGGGGAAAGGAATGGGTTCCAGATATGAGGTCACCGTGTGAAATATACAACACTGTAAATAAGATTTTCATAGACAGAGGAACAGAGTCCATCTGCTTTCTGATATAAACTTTCTGTGTGCAGGCCTTGCTGGGTGAGGTAAAAAGCTAGATGAGAAGGGATATTTTAATGCCGATGTAGAAAATTAAGCTTATCAGATATACTTAGAAACATTTGTTAACTTTTGTATTTAAACTTAAGTCTATTTTGACCTTTTTCTTCTCGCTACCCAGAAGAGAAGCTTTTATTGAGAGATATTAGGGAGATTTAAAAAAAATAGGAGTAGAATAATATTTTCATTTTATTTTCAATACCTTGACTATAATTTGACATTTCCTTGTTGTTTTGTCCTACCTGGGGAAGAGGAGACCCCAGAGACCAAAGAAATCTCTTTTCAGTGTTTGAAAAACTGACCAGCAAAAACACATGATCATGTACATGTAGTTTTGAAGTTTTTTTTTTTTTCAGTAAACAAGTTTTCACATTGAAGAGTATATGTCGTTTCTCTCTCTAGAAGTACAGCGTTGGGAGGCTGTTATGGGAGGTGTTGGGGGAGATGAGAGTATGGGATAGACATGCCCAGACACGGCTTCAGTTTGGGGTGACGATCAGGGTGACATGGGTATGAAGATGGCTTTTGCTACAGGAAGTTCAGGCTGAGCCCCCAGAGCTGCCTGAAGCCTGATGTCAGAGTTCTTCCTACAATACAATATTGGTGTGAAGTTGTCATTGGCCCTCTAGAAACTCCTAGTCCAGGAAGACAGAGGATGGTATGGGCTAGTTTCTAGGACCTTTACGATTTGTTAAGAGTGAAAGCAGCTGGAGAATATTTGGGAGCGCATTAAAGATACGAAGAATAGAGGTGACGTTACAGTGGAATGCCCTGTCACTTAGAAGGGAGAGATGATATTCTCAACATTAATACCGGAGATGATGGGAGAACTTCAGCTCTGTAGACATTAATTAATTAATTAGCTCAACGAATGTTTCTTGACTGCCAGCTGAGTGCCAGGTCACTGGGGAGGTGACTTGCCTATCTTGCTCACTGGTCTATGCTGGGTACTCAGTAGGCAGTCAACAACCAAAGAAATAGAGAAGAAATTACAGACTATGATCATTGCTAATAGGGAATAAAAAAGATAAGAGAAAATAATTAGGGAGAGCCACTTTACATAGGCTGGTTAGGGAAGGTCTCTGTGAGCAGGCGATCCCTGAGTTGAGATCTGAAGGATGAGAATGACTCAGCCATTTGAAGAATTAGGAAAAGAACATAGTCAGGTTAGCTCATGGAAGAACAGCAAGCAGAAGAAGGCTTGGCATTTCTGAGGAACAAGAAGGAAGCCTGTGGGAACATCGTGAGCAAAGGGAGTTATGGGAATAAGTTGGAGAGTTAGGCAGTAGCCAAGTCATGTAGGGTCTCTAGGCTGTGTTGGAGAGTTGGATTTTATTCAAAGAACAGTGGGAAGTCACTGAAGACTATTAAGCAGGGGAAGAAAATGATCTGTTTCATGCTTTCAAAACATCTCTCTGGCTATTGTGAGATGAATAGACTAGAGTGGCAGCTGAGAGGCCACTTAGGAAGCTATCGAAGTAAACCAGGCTAGAAAATAGAGAGTGTGAACAAAGTGGTGGCAGTGAAGACGGAGAGAAGTGGATAGACGTGGAACTAGAGCTGACACGCCATGCTGACGGATTAGATGCGGAAGGCGAGGCCACGGGAATCCCTGATGACCTTTTAGTTTTTGAGTTAAGTGGCTGGCTAGCTGATGTTGCCATTAACCAAGATAGGGAGGGTCAGTGCTTGGAATGTGGGGCTGGGTTTTTGGGGCAAGCGTGGGGGCAGATGGCATAAATGAGTGAAGAGGCCCTGTGGAGATTGTGACAAACAGGCAGTTCGTGGTAGTTAAGAACACGGACTGAAGCCAGACTGCCTGGGCTTGAATGTAATGTGAACAGAGACAATTTACCTAACCTCTCAGTGTCTCAATTTCTTCATCTGTAAAATAGATGATAATAGTATCTACCTCATAGGGTTGTTGTCAGTGTTAAATTAGTTGATTGATATAAATCTCTTAAAACAGTGTAGGGGGCCGGGCGCAGTGGCTCACGCCTATAATCCTAGCACTCTGGGAGGCTGAGGCAGGAGGATCGCTCAAGGTCAGGAGTTCGAGACCAGCCTGAACAAGAGTGAGACCCCGTCTACTAAAAATAGAAAGAAATTAGCTAGACAACTAAAAATATATAGAAAAAATTAGCCGGGCATGGTGGCGCATGCCTGTAGTCCCACCTACTCGGGAAGCTGAGGCAGGAGGATTGCTTGAGCCCAGGACTTTGAGGTTGCTGTGAGCTAGGCTGACGCCATGGCACTCAGCCCGGGCAACAGAGTGAGACTCTGTCTCAAAAAACAAACAAACAAACAAAAAACACCTAGTGTGTGGCATGTAGCATACCTGTGTAAGTCGTACTGAGATTGTTTTATTACTGTAAAAGGAGCAGCTGTTACTCAGTTCAGGTGATTGCTACCATATAGAGCTAGCTGCCCACAGCTGTTAGGTCTTATGATTTTTAAAAAAAATCTGGAAATACACATTTTTTGTGTGTGAAATTCCTCAGTTTTAAGCATTCTTAAACATCCTGTAAGCCAAATAAAACATGTTTGTGGTTGCTGAGTTAGACTAATTAGCCCAATTGTGTGGTATTTTTTGGCAGTACCATCCAGTCCGTTGGGTATAGGAAGGGAGAAGACAGTTAGTTGGGGTCAGTTGAGAGGGGAGTTTTGCTCATTGAGTATGAGAGGAAGAGGGGACCCAAGGCTCAGGGTTTGCAAGGATAAGAGATAATGACAGGCCATGCAACTATGTGGCCAAGGGAGGGAGTAAACATAGTGGGAGGACAATGAATAGTAAAAATGTGGTTAGGACTGTGGGCTGGAGGTCTTAGTGAAATTTAAACATTGTTGAAATGGAGTTTCTGCTGTAAGTGACCTGGAAGGACCAAAGATTGCCGGCAGAAAGTGTGATATTTGATTTTTTGTTTTTGGAGGTAGCGACATTAGTAGTGATCATGGGATCCAGGCTGTGAACATGGGAAAGAATGGCTGGAGTAGGGGGAACAAAAGGTATGTAGAGTTACAGGCTAGGGTTGCCTGGTCATTGACATGGATGTGAACTCCCAAAAATGTCTGTGGGAATGAGGATGGAGGGGAAGGCAGTGAGCTGCAAGTCAAAACATTAGTGAACTAGAGCTATGTATGACCAAAAGGTTCAAAGATGACAGCACCAAGGAGGTATAGCTAGAGCTAATGATACAAATTTCAAAGGATCTGGAGTTTTTGAAAGATAATGGAGGAAAAAAATAATTTTAAACCCATGAATAGGAAAGCAAGGAGAAGACATTCTTCCTCCAGTCCCTGAGATACCTAGACCTCAAGGGAAGCGATAATATTGGGGGACAGCCAGGTTTCAGTTAAGGCAGGGAATCACAGGAGCATTCACAGAAGTGACAGAGGCTGTAAGATCCTCACTGATCAAGTTCCAGGCCTAGGAAAGGGATGTAGGAAAAGATGAGAGATGGGTGATTGGCTCAGGTTAGGAGATGGTTATAGAAATACAGAAATGAAAATCTTGGACCTCTGTAGGTGAATAAGATAAAATATCTGTGGGCATTCTCTTAGTTAAAAAACCATTTTCTTTTTTTAAGATAGGGTCTTAACTGTCGCCTGGGCTAGAGTGTAGTGGAGTTATCACTGCAAACTGCTGGGCTCAAGTGATCCTCCTACCTTAGCCTCCTAAGTAGCTGGGACTCCTGGTGTGCACTACCACATCTGGCTAATTTGTCTTTTTTTTTTTGTAGAGATGAGGTCTCGCTCTTGCTCAGGATGAAAAAACCATTTTTTTGACAGTATTTACTGCTACCTTCTGTCAGGCTATAGGAACAACTCTGTTCTGCTCTGAAACTCTGTGAGAGTTTCTTCTTTCTTAGTATGATCTGCACTCTCTTAAGATGCTTATTTCTGAGGTCCAGTACTTAAGAGTTATACACCAGTTAAATTTACAAATGCTCTTCTGGAACAAGGCTTTTGCCCTTCCCTTTGTGCTTATATATATCAGCAAGGGGATTGGATTCTTGGGGTCAAGAATCAAGGATTAAATCTTTAAGGTCCTTTTAATATATTTTCTTTTAAATAGAGTGTAGATGCAGCCCTGAACAACCTCTCTCTTTGCCCTGAGCCCAGCCTTGGGCTCTCTAAGTGCTCTGTAAGTAAAGGCACTTTCAAAGCAGGAGGCATTCTCATCTCTGTACTTCTTCATGTACTAACCATTCACTGAGCTGGAAGGGATGATAGAAGAATAGGAATTGAAAAAAAAAAACTTAGCCCTGAAAAAGTACCTGGAATCAGACAATGAAATTGTTAAAAATTTAATTTCAATGAATTTACTTTCATTTGTTTGGAGTCTCTTCCCCTCACTAAAGTGTAAGCTTTGTGGAGGTAGAGTCTATCCGTGATTATTCTCCATTGCACCTCCCTCACTTAACATCCGTTGTGCCTATCATGCTAGTCATTAGGAAGTATTCCTTGAGTAAGTGATAAATATTTATGAAAAATATAAGTTTTTTTCTTCCCTCCCCCAGCTGGAAATAGCTGTCCTAGAAGTGAATTTGCTATGACACTCTTAAGGGACTGGCCTCAGAGAGCTTTGCTAACCTTATGTCTCCACACCTCCCCTCTTGTACCCCAAGCAGAGTTATAGCATGATGGGGAAGAGTGAGTGCCCTCTTAACCACTTTTGCAAACAGTGTCCTCTATTATACTTCCCTTTGGGTTTATCTGAAATTTTGCTCTTCTGTTAAGGACCAGGTCAGATACCATCTCTGGAGCCTTTCCTGGTGCCCCAGCTAAAGTAAGCTGTACCCTCCCTTATGGCATTCTTCATGTTTTCCTTTAAAACAAGGACTGAGCTTAGTTATCATTCTCTGCCTCCACATTGCCTATCTCAAGGTCTTGAACATAGTTAGTACTAAATGAGAAATTTTTCAATTAAGGACTGAATGATCATTTATAGTAGTTTATTTGGGTGTTCATGATATTGTATACTGTGGCATGAACATTTGTAATTTAAACATGGTACACTGCTGAAAGAAAGAAATTATTTTCTGCTTCATTTTATCTCCTCACCTATTCTGTTAATTAGGTATTTTTGAATCTTTCAGCGTTTTAGGGGAAATGTTACTTAAAACACTTTCTCAAGATATCCTTTGAGTCTGACTGTTGGAAAAATAACAGCTTCCATCCATGTGTTCTAGTGGCCTGTGACTGCAGCTGGAACTTGGGAAGGGTTATAGCTTCCCGCAAGAGCCGAAAATACTGAACTCCTATTGAAGAGCCCCCACCTGCACACTGTGCATAAATAGAAGCAGACCCTGATTTGGTGCTGGAATAACATGAAGTTGAAGGCAGACTGGGTGGCCTGGCTGTTGGAGCCAGGATTCTCGTTTGCATTAAGAGCTGGTTATGGACCATTTTGAATTATTGACTCATTCAGCTCTGCAGAGGGGCCAGAGTAAAAAATAATGTATCCAGTCTCTTGAGGCTAAGTATCCAGGATGGAAATCAACCTGTATCACTTTGAAAATTGTCACAGAAACAAGTAATTTGGAAAGATCTTGGAACTGGGAGAATAAAAAGGTCCGTTATATAATGAGATGTTATCCCCAGATAACCTTGTTCTGAAAGGCAAGGTTTAAATTAACTTTAAGACTCTCATATAGGGGCATCTAAAATCTCCGTAGTTGTCCATGCCAGGCTTTGTTGTTTCTCACCTTTCCCTGTTTACAGCAAGGTGTCAGTCTAAGCTTTCAGTTTTTGGTGGAACTGTGTGTTACAGAAAGCAACATAAATCATGTTGCATGCATTTAATGAATAATTCTCATACATCTAACTTGTTTTCTAGATTGAACTTTTAATTTAAAAACTTTTTATTGAGAGAATAACATGCACATGGAAAAGCATAAATATATAGCTAGCTAGATTTTCACAGATTTTATTTTTTGTTTTAAAGGGTGCATTGAGAATTAATCCAAAGAAGTTTCATGAAGCCTTCATTCCTTCCCCGGTAAGTTCAATAACTAATAAACTTAATGTCACATTTAATTTTTTAGATGTGCTCTGAAACTGGAATATATGAAATCATATATTCTAACTAAAAAGCAGAGTTGTAAAACAAAGTTGAAGATGTGCAAGGATCTGTTTCAAATTTAAATAAACAAAATTTGCTTTTGGTTCACAACTCCTTCTGCCAGTCTTAAAATCACATGCCAAATGAAGGGGATGGCATTTGTCACAAGACTGCAGAGAGCAGCTGGACCCAGGCAGACTACCCACCAGTTCATGAAATTGGATGCCCTTGGTTTATAGCTTAAAAGGATTTATGTTTTTTTCCCACTGATTTAAGTTAATCTTTCCTAAACGAATATGCTATCTACTTTCGATCTATTGCATGAGCTAATATGAACATTTGTCCAAAAATAACGAGTAGCACTTATTTATTTTTTGGTCAGAGTTTCTCAGTTTAATTTTGTGCAGGTGATAGGACTTGGTACAAGGCTCTTTACCATTGGATTTTTAGACTTTTCTTCTGTTCATGACTCACTTTAAGAGGCTCAAGTTAAAGGAAGTTTAGACAGACATAGAGTAATAGTTAGCGGCAGATCTCTGGAGAAGGTTTGAGTGTACAAAGCTGGGAGAGCAATATTCTTAAATTCCTGACCTAACTTTTCCAGGATGCTATAAATAGAATAACTATAGAATCATAGATTTTTCACAGTGGAAAAGACCATAGAGATAAAGTGTTTATAGATGAGGAAATGGAATGCATATATTTGAGTTAACATATTTCATTATGTTAAATGACAACAAGTTTAGTGAAGGTGTAAGTTCAGTCATGTACTTCATAGGTGTTACTATTACTGGTTGTGTGTCCCTTATTTGAAATGCTTGGGACCAGAAATGTTTTGGATTTCAGATTTTTTTGAATTTTGGAATATTTGTATTATATACTTACATAGAAATCTGAAATGCTCTAATGAGCATTTCCTTTGAGCATCGTGTCTGTGGTCAAAAAGTTTCATACTTTGGGACATTTCAGATTTTGGATTTTCAGATTTGGGATGCTCAACCTGTATAATTATTATTGTTATTATTACAATAACCTTAAGACCTATTCTCAAGCTCAGTTAGTCCTTTTTTCCCTTGCCTTCCAGAAGCCAAGGATTCACATTTGCATCCAAGTTCAAGTCTTATTCATTGGATTAGACAAAAAGTATCACAGACATGTCACATTATTCTCTCTGAGTCATATTCTGTTTCTGTGACAGAACATGGTACATTTGTTGACCTTGGTTGCTGGGCTGTAGAATTGAGGGTCAGCTTTGAGGTGGTAACTTGGCTGCAGGAGCAGTTCCCTCGTACAGTGGAAGCGCAGTTTACATGGGTGTTAGATTCCAGAGTTTGCTCATAAGGTTAAAATCACATCCAGTAATCATAAAAATTACCCATGAAATCTCTTAGAAAGGTGCCATGTTTGAGACAGATAAACCATCTCTTAATACGTCCTACATGACCAACATTTTCTCCACATTAGAAAGAATGACTGTTTCTTCACTGGCATTCAGTTGAAGGATCTGGATTGTATGAGGAGCCCTCGTGTGAAAATCATGGATTTTTAAGCATGAGAATCACATCCAATGCAGTAAGGAGTTCATCCTGAGAACTGCCTGGGAACTGAGCAGATTTCAAACCTCTCCTCTCCTGTGCATGCTGAAGTTTGCTTTCATTGATGGGGGAAGATAAGGGGAACTACAACATTTTGAAAATTTTACCACTTTGTCTCTTTCCTAAGTACATAGTATTGAATTTCTCTAAGTTAAATCTCTGTTAGGTTAGCTCCTAGCAAGTGTGGGGCCTAGGACAAAAGTACAACAGGAGGCACATGCATACATACATTAAATCACATATTGAAAAGTTATAAATCAAACTAACACTGTTAAGTAAAATATATTCCATGACAAAGTCTATTCCTTGCCAAATATACCTCCATGTACCTGGGTTCAAATGGAGAATTCTCAAATTCCTTGAAGCTCCATGCTGAAGTGTGGCTGCTTAGAGGGGGTCCACCTCTGGCCTGTTCCTCTTCTCTTCCCACTCCTGGCTCCCTGTCTGTCCCCTTTTGGCTCCTTTGCTTTCAGTGAGGACCCTTGCATGCACATACACGGGCATCTTATTCCACATGTCTGAGCTCTATCCATATCCCTTAGAAATACCCGAACCTTTAGCCAACTGTTAAGTTGAGGGGGTGCCACCAGTTGGGGGGAAGATGCCTCTGTATGCCCTGGAAGTGGCTTGGGGCTGATTACTCTAGGGAAGCACATCCATTTGGCTCTGAGAAGTCCTTGTTTGATGGGAAGGGGCATGGCTAAAGTAGGTAGGGCCAGAGAGCAGAGGCCTTCTAAAGTGTGAAGCCTGGTTAGGTTCTTGCAAGTTAAATTCATGTAATTTACATTTGCAAATGATATATCTCTACAGTTTAACCTGATTTGTTAAAGAAAGGCTGAGAAGCAAAGGCAAAAGTTATTGATGTTTCAAAAGCTCACACTTATTCTCCTAGTTGAAATTATATTCCTAGCATATGCTATTTAGAAATTTTTAGACAGTTGTGATATTAGGATGAGCTTATTTCCATGCCTCTTTTATCTGGCCCCTGATGGAGTAGTAATATTGTCTAAGAGAGGAGAAAAAAACTAAATAATTCACCTCTAGGTAATTAAGAACAGATTGTAAAAGCTACTATCAAGGCCCAATTGCAAGTGATCATAGATACTCTAGTTTTGGACACTGGAACAGTCCTATATTCTTGTTTTGTGGATTTTTAGGTCCATTTATTTCAGTTTTCAGAATCATTATGGGAAGCAATCTAAGAGGGCAATAGTAGAGGCAATAAATTGCATGCAGATAAACCCCACAACCACCAGTGGTCTGGATTTCTGAGTGTACATAGTTCATGTCCATGTAAAATATGAACTTGTATGAACTAGATAAATGCCTATAGGTAGACGAGGAAGTAGGATGTCAGAACCAGAGCCTGAATGTTACCTGTTTAAGCTGCGAGAATAGACAGGAAGTGATAAAAGATGTGGCTTCTGGTCTGACGATAGGAAATAGAAAGTTTTCCTTATTTGCAAAATGAGAGGATGGATTCGATATTGTCTAGATTTCTTCACAACTTCAAAATTCTAAGTTTTTGAAGAGACAAAAATAGAGATTTGGTTAAATTATTTAAATTTACTCTTATTGTAAAAATACTATAATTGCGAATTTATACAATGTCATTTTGCTGTGCCAAAATATCTACCTAAGGCTAAGAACAGTAAATTGATCATCAGGTTTGAAATAATACTTTGTTTTGGGGGAACTTGACTTAGGTTCATTATAATTTCTGCTGACAGAAATTTTCATTTTATGACAAATCTAAAATACATGGGATGAGTAACTTATGTGCATCTGCTAGTCTCCTGGGATTCTTAACAAAAGCAAAATACAGAGTTGGAATGAAACCATGTGACTTTTAAGCAAACCAAGATAAAATGATATTATTGAGATACCTTTTTATCCTATTTTGGGGACAGGATAAAGAGGAGAAATGGATCAGATGGGAAAACCTGGCTTTTTAAAAAAACACAATTTCTATTCTGAATTATGTTGATACAAGAAGCTCTGTAACTTTTTTATGCATCTTGTCATGGGAGGCACCCTTTGTACAGCTGTGCAATTTATTTCTGGTCCAAAGGAAGACACTCCATCAATGAAGGATGCTCTGACCATCATGGCATACTTGCGTTGTCCTCCCTCCTCCAGTCCCCTAAGTGCTTAGTTAAATTACCTCCAGATCCCTTTATTTTTCCTCTAGGGGTATTCATTATCTATTTTTCTTTCTTTTTTTGTATTCTTTCTGATGGGTAGAACAAGACTTCTGACACCCAGATAAAGAACTGAACTCTTTGGCTTTAAAGAATATTGTTAAGAGAGATGACTCAAACTTTTAAGATTGAGCAGTTCCCAAATTTAGTATCTTTAAAATAAGAGATTCGGCAATAGACACAGGCTTCTGAATGAATCAAGGAAGAGCCGAGTAGTGATTCAATAGTTGTAGATTTGTGTGTTGTCTGAAGTTCAACTCATCCCTGCTTTCCAGAGTTTCTTGGGATAAGAAGGTGACGATACCATCATCCTATCATCTGAAAACATGAGCTGCCAATGGGTGGTTGGTAGCTGCTTATAAAAGAGACATTTCTTTCACTGCATATGTTTTGGCATGTGACACTGGGTTAGGGTGACCTCCAAACAGCCCTCTTTTCATTCCAGGGAGATCTGAGAGATCATATTGCCTTATAAATTGCAGAAGGCAACGATCGATGATGATGTGCCATATTTCAGTTGTTCACTCTCGATTTACTAGCTGTCTCTTCCTTATTTCTCTGAAAAGCTCATCCTGAGGTCAGTTGCAGTCATTTTTTGTGGCTAACACGGTAGCTGTTCCTCAGGGACTAGGGTGGGGTCAGGTTTGGCAGAATGTGCAGGCTACAGCTGTCAACCCAGAGCTAGATTGGACACTGGACAGAAAACTGTTCTAAAAGATCTCTAATGGTTTGTAATTGGAAACTATAAAAAATGCTGAGCAACTAAAATCCCCTCCCTCTTTTTTGGTTTGGTGATTTTGGAATAGTAATTCTGACTTTAACTAAAATTTCATAATAATCACGTTCAGTCCATTGAGTGTTAAATCTGATCTATATTGAGTGTCTCTATTAGAAAGATTTGAGTGGTAACTTTCCAGACCTTTTTACCATCAACTTCTGTAAGCAAAATTAACATTTTTATTTCTCTCTTATTTTCTGAGAAGGAGCACATAATGTAAACTTTTAGACAAATAGAAGGATAAGAGTACATGTTTGTTGATGAGACATTTTGAAAATCTTTCATTTTCTCATGGAACCTGACTACTGAAGGCCTGCTTTTCCTTAGCATTTTCCTTTTTTTCTGAAACAGGGTCTTGCTCTTTTGCCCGGGCTAGGGTGCAGTGGCGTCATCATAGCTCGTTACAACCTCAAACTCCTTGGCTCAAGTGATCCTCCTGCCTCAGCCTCTTTAGTAGCTGGGACTACGGGCAGGCACCACCATGCCCGGCTAATTTTTGTATTTTATTTTTTGTAGAGATAGGGTCTTGCTATGTTGTTCAGGGTGGTCTTAAACTCCTGGTCTCAAGTGATCCTCCTGCCTCAGCCTCCCAAAGTGCTAGGATTACAGGTGTGAGCTACCACACCCAGCCCCTCAGCTATCTTTTCATTTAAGTGTTTTTGCAAAGGAATTTGGCTTACCAAGAAGACTGGTACCTATTAAAGTTGAGACATCAACACCTGGGAACCTCACTGGGGAACCACACTGCTTAAAGTGTGTGATTGAGGATGAAAGTGTCTGCACTTTGTGTTCGTGGTCTGAAATTCACAGTGCTCCTAAGTCAGTAAGAAAGGGGGAGTGTAAGATTGCTTTATGAAGCTCATGTTATGTCTCTTCTTTGCCTTCTACTTAGGTCTCTATAAAAACAAGCACAGTTTTTTCTCTCTGCCACTTTCTGGGGTGGGGAGGGTGTATGATTCTGCTGGCTTCCTTCAGGAGAACCCAAATCCTAGAGCCTGTTCCTACTCTCAGTTGGTTTTCCTTGGGGGACTGGGGGAGGATTATTTGTTGTTCCTTTTCTGTTCTCTTGCATACCTTCTATTTTTTACTTTTCCTTGATACTTAGAAAAAATTCATTCAGTATAAAAAGGTATCAGCATGCTTTATTTTCTTAAAACAAAAAAGGATAACCTAGGAATAACTTACTCCTTTCTCATTTTAGTTATGAAAGAATGCGATCTCAGTTTTTTGCTTTATGTATTTTTATTTGTTTATTTTTGGCCTGTCTGTAGTAGATCATTTGCTTATGGTGACTTTTTGCATTTCGCTAACCTGCTCTTAATTGTTCATTACCATTTCTTTTAGTTCCAAAGAAATCGAGTTCCCTTTGGGTGTGTTTGTGGCTATGTACTAGAGTTCCTATTTAGTCAGTGCACATATTGTAGAGTCTAAAATTTTCAAGCCAAGGTAGTAATATTTGGTTCCAGGCCTTGGTAAACTAACAATCATTTTATTTCTCTCTCCAACCTAGGATGGTGATCGAGACATTTTTATTGATGGGGTTGTTGCTCGTAATAGAGCCTTAAATGGGGATCTGGTTGTCGTGAAACTACTTCCCGAGGAGCAGTGGAAGGTAAGTTAAATTTTCCTTTTTTAACTATAGATTTCTTAGGACCTTTTGTGTTCCATGGTGTACCAATGAGGCATCATAACCCGGAGGAGTCACAAACCCCTCAGGCTCTGCAGTTAAGTTGGTTGTTGTATGCTTGGGGCTTGGAAACATCTGCTGGGCAGACATCTAATAATTTGAGTTGTTCTCCTTGCTCCCTCTCTAGTGATCTGTTCTGTCACATTCCTTGCATTGGTTTCTGGTATTCTTTTGGATAGAATACCAAGGGCCCATTCAAACTTGACGCATACATTATTTTCGCATATTCTGTCCTGGGAGAACTGGAAAGATGAAGCCATGGGGACAGTGGTAGTCCTCACACATTTCTTCTGCCTCTACTGGAAAGTGCAGGCAATACATATGGAGTTCTGTTTGGCCTAGTTTGGGGATTGAATGTCCATCCCTTGGAAAATAAAAATTATCTACATTTTTATAAATCAGGGATTTTGGGGCAGAAGAAAATGTTTTTAATAGAATATTCTGGGTTTCAGTCTCCATCTATGTCTGTTAATTGAAAAGGGAAATAAATGTAGTTATACTTTTGACCGTTGTTTTAGTTAACAGCAAGGGTCAGATGTTTTACTTAACAGTAAGGGTCAGTTTGTGGTAACAATTTCTTTGAATTGTCATGTAGAATTGGTGACTTGTATGTCTAAGTCTGAATTTGTCTTCATAACATTTGTTTTATTTGGCTCAATTCATTGGTACTCTAGAATGTGGTGTCTTCTTCAGTGAGAGGCATCAAAGTGTAGTGAGTAATAGCATGGCCTTTAGGTTAGGCTGTTTGGCTTTGAATCTCATCTCTGCCATTCATCTACATAGCTTTGGGCAAATTATACAACTTCTCTACCTCAAATGCCTCATCCATAAAATGGGAAGAATTATAGTACCTACTTCATAGATTTGTCACGAGGATAAATGAGAATACATGTAAAAATCTTAGAATAGTGTCTAAAAGTCTTAGAATGGCCAGAGCTCAAGAAATGTTAGTTCTTATCATTAGCTTTTCCAGAAAATATGTGATATGAGGAGTACCACCTTATCTCAGAGCTTTATTGAGGCATAAATTAAAAATTCTTTTTTATGTGATAGGGCTAGAGTAATTGAATTACAGGTATGTGCCAGGTACCGATGGGGTGCAGGGAATTTTGTAATGATCAGGATCCACATAGTTCTTGCTCTCATGGAACATGTAGTCTATTGGGGAGTACAGGTAGGAAGAGACAGATACTAATTGTACTTATACAAATTCAAGTATAATTTTAATTAGTACTGTGAAGCTAAGTGCAGGGTTGTGTGTGTGCGTGTGTGTGTGTTTTGTTTTTTTTTAAATGACAGTGAATTTTCCTAGTCGAGGTCCTCCTCCCTAGCCCCATACCCCCGTGCTGCCAATTTTGGATATAGTCTTCACCCTTGGTTCCTTGAAAGCTTAGCTAAGGGCTGACTCTAGGTCTTAGGAACATGGATTCATTTAGGTCACTTCCTGTTTTCTTTAAAGCATCGTGCAGCCCGATGTTGACCAGGTCCAAGAAGACAAGGGGAGAGCATTAGGGCTAGGTCAAACCAAAAGAAGCATTTCTAGAGGCCATTTCAGGGAGTGAAGAGACAGCATTATAATGAACAAGAGCCAAAGAACGAAAAAGGGGTGAAACTAGTAGAATAGGAAGAAATGGAAGAGAGTGGTTAGCAAGTTGGGGGGGTCTAGAGCAGACCAGAGCAGGTATGAGGTGTTGACTGGTTGAAGAGCAGGCATGAAGAGTGTAATGTACAGTAGCACACCAGTTGAGCTCTGCAGAAGTGGACGATGTTGCTTAAAAAAGCAAGGCCAAGTTGCCTGGCCTCCTTCCTATCCTTAGCCCCTGGATGGAGATGGCTAAAATGAACAAATATATGAATAAATAAATGTGTTGAATTATTTTTCCTTGTTCCTTACTCCTTTGTTGAAAAGACCAGCAAGCCCAGCATTTCCTGATACTGTCAGAAGTTTTCTTGCTTTGGGCAGGAAGCCCAAGAAGATGGGATATGTTGTTGACCAAAGCTTGAGGGCAGGTTGGGGGTGAAGGTGTTTGTTGTTGTTGAGGTCTAGGAGGACAAGTTTGGGGCTTGGACATTCTTGCTCCTGCCTTGGTCCCTTTGCTTCCTGGACAAAAATCTGTAACTCCTTTAAGACTCAGTTTTATGAAATCCTAGGTCCCTGGAGCTAGTTAAGCAAGTGAGAATTTATAGAAATAGGTAGCATTCCCACAGTCAATACAGTCAGGCTTCTTAGAAACACCTTGTTTTTCTATTTTACAGTTAATATCTAAAGGTAGAAGTTAAAAGCCAGATGAAGGTTTTAAGCCAGGGAGTGATATGATTATATTTAGACAAAAATCACTGTAGCTGCTATTTGGACATTGGGCTGTGGTGGGGACAGTTGTACATTGGGATGGCCAGTTAGGAGGCTTAGACTGGGTCATTACAGTAAAGATGGAGAGAAGTTGGGACATATTTTGAAAGCAGAGCTGATAGGAATTGAAGATGGATTTGAAGAATAGGATGAGTGAAAGAGGGAAATCAAGGACAATTATTAAGATTTTGGTTTACCAAAATGGGTATGATGTCATTAATTAAAATGGAGAATAGTGGGGAAGAGCATGTTTTGGTGTAAAAATTGTTAGTTCTGCTTGGCCATGCTAAGTTTTAATTTCTTTTTAGACGTGTTAATAGAGATACAGAGAAAATATAGAGGCCCAGATGATTTCACTTGCTGGTGAATTCCATTAAACATTTAATGAAGAAATAATCCTGGTTTTATACAAATACTTTTGGAAAATGCAAGAGGAGGAAACCTTTTCCAACTCATTCTGTAACGCCAGCATTGCTGTAATACCAAAATGAGGGAATGACATTATAAGAAAAGAAAGCCACTGACCAAGAGGCCTCACAAATAGATGAAAAAATCTCCAACAAAATATTAGCAAATAGAATCCAGCAACATATAAAAAGGATAATACAGCATGAGCAAGTAGGATTTGTTCTAGGAATGCAAGGTTTGTTTTAATATTTGGAAAGAAATCGGTGTAAGTCATCGTTTAACAGACTAAACTTAATGCAATATTTCAGTCAGACATCCTCATTTCAATAGATGCAGAATATATGCATGTGACAAAATTCCACAACCACTTGTGATAAAAAACTCACAGCAAACTAGGAATAGAAGGTCAGTTCCTCAACCTGACAAGAAACATCTAGGAGTACTTAGAACTACATCATTCTTAATGGTGAAAGACTGAATGCTTTTCCTGTAATATTGGGAATGAAATAAGGATGTTCCTTCTTATCCCTTTTATTCAACATTGTACTGAGATTCTAGCCGGTACAAAAGGCAATAGAAAAAAAAACATCCAGATTGGAAAGAAGGAAGTAAAACTCTTTATTCCCAGAGTATATGATTTTCTATTTACAAACTTCTAAGAAATCTACATAAACAAGCTGCTATAACTAATAAACGAGTTACAGGACAGAGGCTGATATATTAATATCAAAATCAATTGTTCTTCTATCAAGGGTGGGGAGCCTGCGGCCTCAAGGCCACACATGGCCCTCCAGATCCCCAAGTGCATTCCCTTGACCGAATCCAAGCTTCACAGAACATTTATTCTGTAAAATTTGGATTTAGTCAAAAGGCTGCACTCAAGGATCTAGAAGGCCATGTGTACTATATATACTAGAAATGATAAATTGGACATTTAAAATATTCTTGAAGTACCATTTATAATAAGATCAAAAGTGTAAACCACTTAGGGTTAAACTTGACAAAAAGTGTGTAAGACATGTACACTAAAATTATAAACCATTATTGAGAGAAATTAAATAACTTAATAAATGGTGAGAAATATGTTCATGAATCAAAAGACTCAATATTGTTAAGATTCGAATTCTATTCAAATTGATCTGTAGATTCAGTGCAATCCCAAGCAAAATTCTAACAGTCTTTATAGAAATTAACAAGCTGATCTTAAGATTTATATGGAAGTGGAAAATACCTAAAATAGCCAAAACAAAGAATAACAAAGTTGGAGGACATATACTGCCTGACTTCAAGACTTCTTATGAAGCTACAGTGATCAAAACAGTGTGGTATTAGCATTAAGATGGACATACAGATCAATGGAACAGAATAGAGAATCCAGAAATGGACCCATACATATATGATTAATTGATTTTCTACAAAGTTGCCAAGGTAATTCGATGGGAAGAGTTTATCTTTTCAAGAAATATACTGTTATAGTTGTGTAGCCATATGAAAATACAGGAACTTTGATTCTTAGCTTGTATTACATATGGAAAATAACTTGAAATGAATTATAGATCTAAATACGTAAAAAGTATAAACTTTATAGAAGAAAATATAGGAGAAAATTTTAGTGATCTTAGATTTCGCAAATATCTCAAGTATAACAAAAAAAAGTGAACATGAAAGAAAAAACATTAATATGTTTGACTTTATCAAAATCATACTTTTGCTCTTTAGTAGACACTGTTACAAAAATGAAAAGGCAAAGCACAGACTAGGTGAAAATATTTGCAAAACATTTATTTGACCAAGAACTTTTATCTAGAATGTAAAGAAATCTTATAACTTGATAATAAGCAACTCAGTTATAAAATGCATTAAAGATTAGAACAGATACTTTACTAAAGAAGATATATGGATGGCGATTAAGTACATGAAATTAGTCATTAAGGAAATACAAATTAAAAGACCAAGGTACTACTACAGATCCACTAGGATAGCTAAAGTTAAAAAAGAGTGACCACTCATGCCTATAATCCTAGTTCTCTGGGAGGCCGAGGCGGGTGGATTGTTTGAGCTCAGGAGTTCGAGACTAGACTGAGCAAGAGCGAGACTCTGTCTCTACTAAAAATAGAAAAAAATTAATCGGACAACTAAAAATATATAGAAAAAATTAGCCGGGCAT